GTAAAGTTGAAGGTTAATAATGAAACTTGCTGCTTTCAGAAACATATAGTAACCTGGGAACAAATCCGACGCAACAAGGGTGTCTTCACCAGGGAGAAGTGTAAACTCTTTTTGAAGCAGTGTGTACAGCTATCTCCTTCAGGGTTCTGGGTCATTAAGGTAGGAAATGGCAATTTGGTTCTGTCAGTGTTGTGTGTGATATTGATATCTTGGGGAAAAATTGTTTTTACAGTCGCTACTAGATGTTTTGATTTCCTGTGGCTGAAGTATTTTGTCTAGACTTGTGATTTTTTTACAGCTTAAATACTTGAGTATGATATAATTTTCATTAAAATTTAATCATTAATTAAAAAAAAAAAAAAAAAAAAACTATTCAAAGGAGAAGAATCCCCCTTTTATGAAAGTAAAAAGACACCCAAAAGGAACAATACTACTTGTTATTTGGATATTGCAAATATAAGTTTAAAATAAAATCAATCCAAGCAATTTTTTTTGTAAAAACTAACAGAAAAAATTGCTGATCCTAAGAGCTTTGAAATTGAGGAACTTCAATGAGCAGTTTGAACAAGAAATTTACAATAGGAGTAGTAGAAGTTTAGATGTAATTATTAGCCTTTAAATGATAGTTTTGAGAAAAAAGGCACTTTTATGCTCAGGTGACAATGTACAGTACAGTATTTTTTTTTTTTCTTAAAGCAAGATAACTGTCTTGTTCCTTACCTTACATTTTGATAATGTTGAAGAGGTCAGATTTTCAAGGAAGCATATTCAGGTCACCTCAGGTCATTTCTATGGGGAGGGTGTGCTCACAGTTAATTTTCCTTAAAGCTGACATGTATGGATACACATGTATTATAAAAGATAAAATACTTGTCCCTGAGAGAGGAGGGTATTATTGGGTGCTACCCAACTCCTTGTTGCCAGGGTAGGCCTATGAAGGCCTATGCATCAAAGCCCCCTGGTTTGTAATCTACAATCTAGGAGCTTTTTTTGTATTTCTCTTTTGCTTTGCCTGGTGTGGAGATATCTGGACTTTGTCCATCTTTTCCCATGTTTGTGTTGCCCCAGGAGTTGAAGGAAAGCCTATATAAGGAAATGAATTATTTTATTCATATCCCAAGTTGTGCGCAAGTATTGGTAGATGATAAATAAATCTCGCCCTTTTTAGGCCAACAAACTTTGCTTTATTTTGATGAAGCCAGAGCTTAGAATGCAGGCCTTCATTTCATACATCTTTGAAGCAGGGCTGGAGATAATAGGTTATTGAATATTGTCCTCGCGCGATCCTCATACTACTGGTCGATCTGAAGATAGTTCCTCATAGTGTCACATAAGGGCATAGGTTCACTGTTGTCCATCGTTTCCTGGAAAACAAATAAGATTGATCACAGTAAAGATCGTGGTGGTTTCCTTCTCCATTCCTTGAAACAGCATTCGAGAACTCTGACATTATCTTGAGCTTCATTGTTATATAATCAGTTCCTACACTGGCCTTGATGGCTTTTCGATAGTATTGCTGCTTGCCACAACACCTTTTCTAATTACTTTCCCTTACATTGTGACCTTTTCTTCCTTTAGTTCTTCTTTCAGTTTTTGAAGGTATGTGCCAATCTTTTTCTTTGTGATTCACACAGTCAGCTTTTTCAACCTTAATCCTGCCCCAATATGAGATTTGTGGCTATGAGTGAGCCTGTGAGGAGTCACTAATAAGCACATCCAATCGAAGTACAACCTTTAAGATGCCCCAGGAATCAGACTCTCCGAGATCAAGGTCAGGGAGATTGTTGCGATGTAGGGCCGTCTTGGCATGGTGCCGGAAGCCTAGCTGAGGTTCAATGAGATTCTGCATGTGTGCGTGCAGAAGGACAATGAGAATCTCTTTCGAGAGGTTGTGAGGGAGGGCCAGATGGATGGTGGGTTCGGACTTAGTGGTCTTCTCCCTGACAGACCTGGTTGATAAGAGGCTTCCAAGCATTAGTGGGCGCCTGAACTGTTTCTTGGGCTGTCTCCTTCTCCTTCTTCTCTTTCTCTTTCATCTTCTCATGAGAGGTCTTAATGGCATCTTTCCGGGTCGGGCAGCTATTTGCGAATGTCCTGTGAGGGCCACTGCAGTTAACGCACTTTTTGGTCTGGTTCTTGCACACACTGTAGGTGTGAGGGCCCGAGCCGCATTCAGAGCAAAGAGTCTTCTTCTCGGCCTTACACTGAGGTTTCAGATGGCCATAGGCGAAACAGTTCTTGCACTGCTTGAGAGGTGTGAACCTCTCAAACTCCACTTGCCAAGGGGCGACGAATTCCTTGAAGAGGTAAAGTCCTTTCTCCTTGATTAGTTTGGCTGCTGCATGGTCAGAGAACCAGACCTTGATCATATAATTAAGCCTCATAACGAAGACATGGTCTACCTTGGCCAAGGGGACAGAGGCCATGATCTCGTCGGTGATGTCTTGCTCGGACTCGTTCACCACCTGGCAATCGAGTTTCTTGACCCCCGAGGGTCAGTTTGGCCTTCATCTCCACCGGAAGGATGGGGGTGAAGCCATGCTTATCCAAGGTCTGAAGGACGTCCTTGGAAAAGAGCCTTTCTGCCTGGGCATCGTCCTCGATGAGGACCAAGTAGCCATCATGGATGGTGAAATACCTCAGTACTTGGGCCTCGGCATTGAAGGGGGCACTCGCGAGGAGCTCGTGTTTCCTTGGGGATGGACCACCGAGGGTTTAAATCTTAATCTTGGCCATTACAAAGGGAGTATAGGTGAGGTGGGATGAGGGTGAAGGTGAAGTGGCAGGGGTGATAGTGAGGTGATGGAGAGGTAGAAAGGTCGGAAAAGAGGAGCCTACACTCGACCCCGAGACAGACTGGGTGAGTCCTCCAGTGTCTTAGAGGATTGGAGCTCTGTGTTGGGCCACCTCCTTGTTGCCAAACCTTGCTACAAAGGGACAACAGGTGGGCAGCGCGTCACCCAGACGAACGCAAAAGCCCTTGAGGGACTTTTGCAGGTCCAGATAACCACAGTAAAGGAAAGGTATTTAATGTAAAATGAACAATATTATTAATTTATTTTATTTTTTTCTTCATTAAACATTTTACTTTTATATTACCCGAATAACAAATTGTTAAACTTCAGTTTAAGCATACACGACACTTCACACGAGAGTGTTTTAGCCAACCTTTATAGGACCATGCACGATTGTAAGGGTCACCCCTGTATTCACCACATTCTCTTTGAAACTGTGTTTTAGGGGTAATTTAAATGTTACAAGCCATGTCCCATCATAACCAACACCAGCTTCTACTTTTCTGTCAATTTGTAGCACTGTAGCCTGCCTGGTAACTACTTCACTAGCAGTTCCATTCACAACTTTTTGTTGTTCCTCATAGAAATCTGCCATGGTATGGTACAGGAAGTTTGCATAACTCGCAAAGACAGATTTTATCATGGCATGTGTGCCAAAGAGAGCTGACAGCCTGGAGAGGCCAACTCTTCCATATTCATTACTGAGGCTGTGGAACAACAACACACTGTTGCCTTCAGTAAAGTTGCCAGGCTTTGATTTCTGTGGCTCACTGACACATCAGTACTTTACACTTGTTGCACCTCAATGACAATACACCGTCAAAGTATTTCTTTTGTATACTCCCGTTTGCCCTCTCACCACATACATCACATTTCTTTCCCTTTATAAGTTCTTTCAGTCTCCCACAAGGGCATTATCATCATCCGAATCTCCATCACTAAGTTTTCCAGATAGGAGTTTATCCGTGTGTGCTAGGAGTCCAGCTGGGAGGCGACACGTGGTGGGTTGAGGTGCCGCATCGCCACTTTTCTCTTCCCTTACTTTATCACAATAAGCCTTCATCCTCCTCTTGGCAGACTCACTCCATGCCACAGTCTTTCTTTCGTGTTTTCCTATTGTGTATGTAACAGGAAAA